CGCGCGCTTCCTCTGGGTCGTCCTCCGGCGCGTATCGGCTGGGACGCACGTCGTGCGCTTCCTCTGGGTCGTGTTCCGCACGAGGACGAGGAGGAGGAGGATTGCCAGGAAAAGGAGGAGGGATGATGCAGGACGAGACAGGAAAGCAGGAAGAGGAAGAGGCTGAGGGGAGGAAGGACGAGGAGGAAAAGGAGGAGGAGGAATGCCCGAGGAGGCCCCAGTAGGTCCCGGAATGGCAGGGCAGGAGGCCGGAGGAGGGAGGAGGAGAGGAGGAGGAGGAGGCGGAGGAGGAGGAGGAGGAGGAGGAGGAGGAGGAGGAGGAGGGAGGAGGAGGAGGAGGAGGAGGAGAGGGGAGGAGGGGGGGGAGGAGGGGAGGAGGAGGAGGAGGAGGAGGGGAGGAGGATAGGAGGAGGATGGGGGGGGGAGGAGGGGAGGAGGAGGAGGAGGAGGAGGAGGAGGAGGAGGAGGAGGAGGAGGAAGGCGAGGGAGAGGAGGAGGAAGGGACAGGAGGAGGAGGAGGAGGAGGAGGAGGAGGAGGAGGAGGAGAAGGGAGAGGGAGAGCAGGAGGAGGAGGCAGGAGGCAGGAGGGGCAAGGGGAATGGGGGGGAGGAAGCATAACGAGGGGGAGGGGGAGGAGGTGGAGGAGGCAAGAAGAGGAGGAAGAGGCAGGGGTTGAGGCAGGAGGAGGAGCAGACAGGAGGAGAACGAGGAGGCAAGAGCAGGTAGGAGAAGGGAAGGGGCAGGAGGATACCCCCATGCAAGCTAAAGAGATTCTCATGTGGGGTCCTTCCGTCGGAGTAATTTTGTATATATATATATATGTACATATGTAAACCCGGACCGTTGTTGTGTTGTGTTGTTCCAGGGGGGGGGGGGGTCCCCGGACGCCCCGGGGCCTGGGAAGGGTCCCTGCCCCCCAAAGGGGGAGGGGTCCAGCTGTGCCCCAGCAAAGGGGCACAGGGAGGATCCCCATCCTTTGTTGAATATTATTACTTCTAAAGAATAATTATTGTTGGGCCCCCTGGTGCACGCCCCCCTCGCCGCGCCTAGGCCGCAGCCACATTTTCATCATTTTCGTGAGGAAGTCTCAGGCAAAACGGGGGAGTCCAGATCCGGTTGTTTTGTTGACGCCCGCTTTCCCTTTCAAAAAACAATATAAAATGACATGTCTTGTTCTAACATAACCAAACTTCAAGAATCCTTTGCAAAAAATGACACGAAGTGCACACTCGCGCGCGCAAGATGAAATCCTTCCAAAACCTTAGTTTTCGTAGCGAATTTAACATACAAACATGAAAAACCCAATGGTTTTTCAAAAAAACAGTTTCAAACATTAATCCCGCGCGCTCTTGCGGATTTCTTAGGAAACCCAGTACTTTTTCAACATTTCTGTCAAACGGGCTCTTGCGAACAACTTTTTCACGTGCTTCGAACTTCTGCAACAACGGTTGCGCGCCTGCCAGGGCCATCATGTTACCACAGCGAGTCATTGTACCCATGCGCCAGTGTAGTAGCCAAGGTCGTCCGCAGGCCACGAAGTGAGGTGTCCGAACGTCATAGGGCGGGAAGCTGGGTGTGGGTGGTGGCGAAGAGTCGTTTGGAAATGTGGTAGAGCTTGAACCGGCCCCCCCACAAAGTGGGGGTATTGCCCGCCTCCTATGAAAACCCTGGCACTGGTGAGAACGGAGTGTCCCCACGTGCTAGTAATTGTTGTTGTTGTTGTTGTTGTTGTTGTTGTTGTTGTTGTTGTTGTTGTTGTTCAGCACCGTGCCATAAGAGGTCGGGATTGCTTGCGACCTCTACGGCGCTGCTTCTCAATTCATACGGGTACCTTCCATTAGCACTGCTTCCAGTCAGTATGAGCTGGTCATCATAGTCAGTGCGCTTTTGGTTGAGCATATGCGAGTGTTAGCCGTGTGGGCGATACCAAACTTTTGCTGTGGCAATGGCGCTGCTCCTTCTGCAGCTATCACCCACTTTGACGTAGCAACCGAACGTCCGCCATCTTCGTCCTTGGCGCCTCTTTTCTCAAGGCCACCCCCAGGGGCGCGAAGATGCTCGCGCTTCGCGCGTCGCGGCCAGGGCCGCCGAGCCAGCCTTCTCCAGGGCTGACTCGCGAGGCCTCGAAGACAACCGCGCGTCGCGCATCGCGGGGCGCGACGCGCAAATTTCGGTGACCCACGCTCGAGGAAACTTTCGGAACTCCGTTCGTTTTTTTTTGGATCGGCACTGAACCCCCCTCCCTGGAACGCAGAGTGCGCCAGGGCGGCACATGAGTCGCCGCGAGAGGGGGCCTTGCTCCAGTCCGAGAAATCCACGCGGGGGTCCGAACGTTCATGTTTATGCCTTTCCCATTTGATTCATTTTTCGCCCTCCTTCCCGCTCCCTCCATCCTCTTCCCCCCGTTTGACCCTGGGAGGGGGACAGGGGGGGGGAAGACAACTAGTGTAACCACAACCACATCAACGATGTTGCGCTCAACCTTCCCTCCAAGTTCCCTAGTCATAGTTCCCTACCAAATTTGCTATTCATCGCGGGAAGTGCCCCGTTGAAAGACAAACGTCTGAGAATACACAAACGTGTCAGAACGCCGTTCTTGGGAATTCAGCACGACGAACCAACGTGACCGTTGCGTCCTCACAAGCCTACATCATGCTACACCGTAGTCCTCGGACTTCAGCACGAATCAACGTGACCCTTGCGTCCTGACAATCCTAAGCCGTGCCACAACACCATTCCTGGGAGCTCAACCATACGAATTCTCGAAACTGTTTCAAACGCTTTAAGACGAATGCGCGAGGCGCTAAGTCGAGAACCGCATGTTGAAAACGTTGCAGCCCCCATTCTTGAAGCTGTTGCAGATGGTGGACTTACGGACCATACAGTGTGAGGATGTCCCAACTCAAACGCCCAGATCACCCTACGGACACGTCGTGTGTGTCACAGGGATGAATTATCAGGAAGGGATGGGGGAGAAGGAGGAGAAGGATGAGGAGGAGGAGGGGGAGGAGGAGGAGGGGGAGGAGGAGGAGGAGGAGGAGGAGGAGGAGGAGGAGGAGGAGGTGGAGGTGAGGAGGACGAGGGGAGGAGGAGGAAGCGGAGGAGGAGGAGGAGGAGGAGGAGAGGAGGAGGAGGAGGAGGAGGAGGAGGAGGAGGAGAGGAGGGAGGAGGAGGAGGAGGAGGAGAGAGGAGGAGGAGGAGTGAGGAGGAGGAGGATGAGGGGATGGAGGATGAGGAGGGAAGTAGGACGGACGAGGACGAGGACGAGGACGAGGATGAGGAGGATGATGAGGAGAGGCGGAGGAGGTGTGAGAATGAGGACGAGGAGGAGGATGATGAGGAGGAGGAGGAGGCAGTAGGAGTAGAGGAGGAGGGGGGGAGGAGGAGGAGAAGGAGGATTAGGACGAGGATGAGGAGGAGGAGGAGAAGAAGGAGGAGGAGGAGGAGGAGGGGGAGCAGGATGACGAGGACGAGGAGGATGAGGAGGGAGGATGATGAGGAGGAGGAGGAGGACGAGGAGGAGATGGAGGGACGATGGAGGGGAGGAAGAGGAGGAGGAGGAGGACGAGGACGAAAACGAGGGGGAGGAGGAGGAGGAGGGGGAGGAGGAGGAGAAGGAGGAACGGGCGGGGGAGGAGGCGGGGGAAGGGGAGGAGTAGGAGTAGGGAGGAGGACGAGGAGGAGGAGAGGAGGAGGAGGAGGAGGAGGAGAGGAGGAGACGGAGGAGGAGGAGGAGGAGGAGGAGAGGAGGAGGAAGATGAAGAGGAGGAGAGGGGGAGTAGGATGAGGAGGAGGAGTATGAGGAGGATGAGGAAGGAGGACGAGAAGGAGGATGAGGAGGAGGGGGAGGAGGAGGAGGAGGAGGAGGAAGCAGGAGGAGGAGGAGGAGGAGGAGGAGGAGGAGGAGAGGATGAGGAGGAGGAGGAGGAAGTGGAGGAGGAGGAGGACGAAAAGGACAAGGAAAAGGATGAGGAGGAAGACGAGGAGGATGATGAGGAGGAGGATGAGGAGGAAGAGGGGGAGGCGGAGGAGGAAGAGGAGGAGGAGGCGGAGGAGGAGGAGGAGGAGGAGAATGAGGAGGAGGAGGGGGAGGAGGAGGAGGAGCAGGAGGCGGAGGCGGTGGAGGAGGAGGAGGAGGAGGACCAGTGCAAACCCAAGAGTCATCAATTATGTTGGAGTAAGCCCTCCCTCCAAGTTTCCTCTTCATAGGTCCACACAGCGGTTCATTTTTAATGAGGGAACTGCTTCGTTGGAAGACATCCGTTTGAAGACCTTGAAGCGTGCGGACACATTATTCTCGGGATTCGAACGTCACGGACCAACCTGACTGCTGCGTTTTGACAATCTTGAACCGTTCAAGAACGCCAGTTCAGGGACTCCGACACAGAGAACCGACATATCTGTTGCACCCACGTAATCCTGGATCCTTCCAAAACGCCATTTCTGGTACGTGGATGATGGGGATCCATGAACTCGTGCAAGATTTGAAGAGGAATGTGCGCCGCGCTAAGGCGAGCGCCACATTTTGAAAACGACCCGCCCTCAGTCCGTGAAACCCTTGCACGTTTTGAGAGCGAATGTGCGCCGGGCTAAGGCGAGAACCACATTTTGAAAACGACCCGCCCTCAATCCGTGAAGCCCTTGCAGATTTTGACAACGAATGTGCGCCGCGCGAAGGCGAGAGCCACATTGTGAAAACCACCCGCCCTCAATCTGTGAAGCCCTTGCAAATTTAAAAAACGAACGTGCGCCACGCTTAGGCGAGAGCCACATTTTGAAAACCACCCGCCCTCAATCCGTGAATCTCTTTTGCAAATTTTGAGAAACTGGCCTCGGGGTGCGACAGGGAGAAGTTATTTATTTGGAAAAGAAATGAGCGGGATGACGAGAAGGAGGAGGAGGAGGAGGAGGGGGGGAGGGAGGAGGACTCCTTTCGCTCCCTTTCTCGTCCTCTCCTGTGCCTCCTGACTGGTCCGCGGCGGCAGGACTGCTGCGACTACATGCTGGAGCACGCCGAGGACCTCCGCCTGTTCCACGCCGACGAGGACTTCGAGGACGTGGAGGAGTCGTTCGAGGCGCCCCTTGGGAGGGATACGAAGTATTTGAAAGTGGAGCCGAAGCAGTAATTCCCATTCACGTTGGCCCTCGAGGTCGCTATGAGCCATCCAGCGTCGGAGCACACGATCTTAGCTTCCGTGCACGCGCGCGACAGTGCCAGCCGACGTGCGAAAGCATTAAGCATGGATATCTACACATGTCAGAGGAGGGCGAGTTGAGACAGCGGAAGTCGGGCTTCGAGGGACCCCTCGCCGCCAAGGCTGGACGCGGCTTGCTGGTGCGTTACGACAGTGGGAATTCTCTGGGGACCGATTTTGAGCGGATTTGTCTTCGTCTCCTCACGCTTGACCGTTTTTTTCGGGGCCCGTCTACCGCAGATCCCCTGGCCGCTTCCAAACCCGCGTAGTTTTTCAACCCAGGCTCGTTGCTCAGTCGCTCTGTGTGCACCTGGTTCTTCTTCGACGGTATCACGCTGATGGGGCCGTCTCCGACTGGCGTGGCACCGATACCGTCTCTACTGTCCGAACCGAACCCGCAACTTCTCCGACCTCCCCGCGCTCATTCTGGCCCCTCGTCACTCACATGACGAGTTGCGGCCGCCCCCTCGTCACTCATGTGATCTGTTTCGATTGGGCGCCAGATCCGACGCAGCGGGAGGGGGCGGGCGGGAGAGGCAGGCTGCCAAGGTGTGGTGTGCACGCGCCTGCCTTGCCACTCCTGCGTCTCCCCATCTCAGCTGTCGCCGGTGCCCTGTCTGCTCCAGTGGTTTGCTGGGCGGTTTCTCCTCCCTCCACGCCTTCTGTCTGCAGCTTTCGAGCGCAACGACGCAGCCGAACCTTCCCCAGCTTGTTCAGTCGCGGGCTCGGTTTCTCCTCTCAGCCAGCAAGGTGCAAAGCCCCCTCTGGGAGGACTGGCCATTCCCTGTTGCAAGGTCGGGCTGCGGTCACGTTGATGTCAACAAAAGCCCCCTCCCCTCCCCTCCCCTCCCCCTCCCCCCCTCCCCTCCTCTCCTCCGCCTGACGCTGACGCTGCAGGCAGGCCTGTCAACGGGTGACAGAGGCCATCGGCAGTCCTCCCCCCCTTTGCCCTCGCCAGGGGAAGCGGAGGAGAACCGTGCAGACACGAGTGAAACAATAGGGAACGACCGAACGGCGGGAAAGGGGGCCTCCCCTCTGCGCCACCCTCTTCTTCTCTCTCTTTCCTCCCCCCTGGCGCCTCCAAGCGACTTCGTACACCGTCCGCTGCACTGCTGCAGTGAAGAGTCTGCTTCTTTCACGCAGGTGGTTTGAATATGCGGTTTACGAAGGGACTGGGAAGCCAAATGGGGGGATGGATCAAGAAGGTGTGCGCTCTCCTCCGCGCCACGGCGCGATCTTCCCCAGCCCCCGCCAGGGCCGCACCGCTCAAGGGGACCCGCATTCGTATCTGTTTCGCACTCTTGGCAGAGACCGCAGGCGTACGTCGAGCACATGCGCAGCCCGGCGCGCTGGGGCTCACAGCTGGACCTCCCCGGGCGACATGGCAGCATCAGCAGGAGAAGGAAGGAGGGGGAAGGAGAGCCGAGGAAGAGGAGGAGGAGGAGGAGGAGGAGGAGGAGGAGGAGGAGGAGGAGGAGGAGGAGGAGGAGGAGGAGGAGGAGGAGGAGGAGGAGGAGGAGGAGGAGGAGGAGGAGGAGGAGGATCTCTAAGGCATCTGGCCTGAGAGCAGGGCAGTGTTGGCATTCCGGTACCGTATCTGCCCTTGCAGGTCAGTCCTCAGGCGTGCGATCAGTTTGCCGCGCTTTCAGCGCTTCTTGATTCTTGCTGCGACGAGCGATCAGCCCGAGGAGGCATCGTGGCACAGGCGAGCGGAGCGAGACGCTCACGGTCGTGAGCGAGGACGCTGGCCAGATTGGGCCCGGGCCTTGCAGCAGGACTTCTGGAGGTACGCCATTCGGCGCCATCCATGAGCTGGCGGAGAGGTGCCTCTAGAGATGCAGTGCCAAGGCCCCCTCGCTATTCGCAGTGGCAGTCGGTAGAGAGACCTGCTGCGCCGTGGCGAACGCAGCAGGCGGGCAGAGGCAAAGGGGCTAAAGGCAAAGGTAAGTCAGCGCCTCGGCTGGCCAGATTATGACGACTGGGAGCACGAGTCGGCGCGCAACCAGTTCGTTAAGTCCCCGAAGCCGAAGCAGCCCCTCTGGAAGTGCGCCCACTGCAAGTGTGGGGGAAACTGAGCATCTATGCAATACTGTAAGCATTGTGGAACCGCCAAGTTTGAGGTGGTAGCGTCGATGTTGGCGATTGTGGATGAGCGCAGGCCGCCCTGAGGCCCGTCGGGTATCTTGCGTGCGATATCGGCCACACTTGGAGCTGGACATGAGCGAGGCGGACGAGGAGGCGACGGCATTTGAGCCCGTGAGCGGTCAGTGTCCTTCGCGGATGAAGCCACGAAGCCAGCCGTGCCAGAGGCCGACCTCAAGCAGATCATCCAGCTCGCGGAGCGAGCTGGAAACCAGGGATTGCAGTCGAGCAGTGTCGTTCCACCTGTGCATGAGCAAGCGTCAGCCCTCCATGACCGAATCCAGAAGATGAGGTAGGTTTTGGAGAAGGAACTTGGCAAGCTCGACCGCATCATTCCCCAGGTCACACTGCAGCGCCAGGCAGTCTCGGACGTTCAGGAGGCCCTGGACGAGGCGGACGCACAGTATAGCGATCTGGTGGCGGAGCTTGCTGAGCAAGGGGGCGTTCCGCTGGCCTACGGCGGACCCTCTAGGCTGTCAGTCTCCAAGATCGTCGACGGCACCGCCACAGCAGCATGCGTGTTCGAGATCGAGGAGTCCTTCAACATCGAGGAGTGCACGCTCTCGGCGGAGGACCAGAAGCAGTTGGCGTCGAGGAAGCAAGCCATCAACAGACATGTGCAGTCTATTGCAAAGGAGTTGTTTGCTGGTGCTGCTGGCGATTTGCAGCGTATTCGGTCAGAACACATGGAAGATGTTCAGCAGTTGCGTCGGAAGCTAGCTCGGACAGACAAGCCCGCGGGGGGAGATGAGGTGGTCGAAGGCGGAGATCATGCAGCTGTCTCCAGCCCCGTCCCCGCGTGCGCGGAGAGGGGCGCCCCTTCCTCGCTGGGCGAACGAGCTGCGGCGAGGGGGGGCGACGCGGGGGGGGGGCAACGCTTTGCAGGTAATTCGCAGACATCCGAGGCCCTGCGTGTCGTAGGCCCTGCCTGTAGTAGGCAAATGGAGGTTGCGGCATTCATTGGGGCGGGACGTAGTCAGGTATGTCCAGGAGGTCTGGTTTGGAAATGGCCCTGGGACCTCCTTGGGCAATGCGTCGACTGCTGACGCGAGTCCGCCAAGCTCCGCCACGGCAGTTGAACCCGTCCCCGCGCCCATTTTCCAGCGTGCCGCTGTGCAGTCCCCGGGCCCCTGCCCGCTGCAGGGGGCGTGAGGCCCGTGCCGAGATCGAGATGGTTAGTGCTACTTCTTGGAAGTCTTTGGAGAGATATCTGGATTCGGAGACGGATGCGAGTCTGGTCTTGCTCCGGGAGATTGGCGCAGCAGCTGGGGGCGGCTAAGGCTGTCCCTCGGTTGCCACGGGGGCAGGGGGGCCCAGCCCCGAGGCCGCAGTGGCCTCGCTGGCCCGCGTTGGGATGGTCAAGGTTCTTGACCAGGCCAGACCCTTGTGCGCGCCGGCCAGGGTATGTCTTACTTGGGTTGATGCCCTCATTCCTGGTGTGTTTACTGCTGGGTCTATATGCTTGCCTCAGGGGGCTTCTTCTTTAGGCGCGGAAGGTTGTCAGGTTCTCGCGCGACTTCTAGAAGTCCTTCGCGCTCTAGGACTCCAGTTCTCTCCTGCAGGGCATTGTGGCGTCGAGCCGAAAGCCTTTCGCGCATTCGGATGAGCGCAGACGATCGGTGGCGTGATCATTGCGCCCCAGTGAGCCGCCTGCCGTTTGACGGCTAAGAGGTGGCGAACGCGGGATTATTTCGACTTTGCACGAGGGCTGGCACCTTGTGCGCCAGTGCGCGAGGAATGAGCAAGCGACGCTTGCTCCACGCTTGCTAGCTTCTGTGGTGCTGCAAGGGGGCCCGATGGAGGCCGTGCATAGGGTGTTACCACGTGCGTTGAGGCTTCCCATGGAGCTCCCAACTGGACCTCGACCTGAGCCCCCGAAGTATCAAATCCTCATGTGCGAGCTCAGGCCCAAGGGGCTACTGCTGATCTAGACCGCGTTTGCTGGGACTTCCAGGCTTCAATCGAGTCAGAGCTGCGCGGTATCTACCATGTTTCCAGCGGCAAGTGCGGAGGCAGGACGGCGCAGCGCCAGTTGAAGCGAGTAAGGTCTCTAGCTACTTCTGGAGGGCCTTTCCGCGTTGCGTGTCCTGGGGGCAGAGCTCGGAGGAAGGTCTCCATGTGGTGCCAGGAGCTCCACCACGCCAAGGCCAAGTCAGACTCATGGGGCTCCACTGAGACTCGCGACCTGATTGGGGAGATCCTTGCTGGCCCAGATCGGCCGAGCTGGACGCCGTCCCGCTCTAGCGACTTGCTCGGTTGCGCAGCGGCAGGCCTGCTTGCCTGGCAGCGCGAAGGAGGGGCCTGGGCAGAACTGTTGGAGAAGAAATCCCACCAGCCCTCTGGGCGTAGGTGGTCTAGAGCAGATCCTCTTCCACCCCTCCCTCTCCCCCCTTGGGGAGGGGTTTGCCCTTCCCCCTGCGCCCCCCCCCTAGACCTGGGCGGAGGGTTTCGCGAGCGGTCGGGCGGCTCCTTCGGCCCCAAGATAGCTTCAAGAGCGCCTCAGAAAGCCCGAGATAACCTCCAATATGGCTCAAGATAGCGCCAGACCGCTTAAGATGGCCCCCAAGATGTTCCAAGAGGCCCAAAGACGGCCCCAAGACGGCTCCAAGTGGCAAAAGAGCTCCCCAAGGAGGCCCCGAAGAAGCCAACATCGTCCCACAATCTTACGAACATCATGTTTTTTTGCTTTCTCCCCGTTTCGCTTCCGATGGCCATCCAAGGCCTCAAGACGGCACCAAGGTGGCCCAAGAGGGCCCCACAAGAGGCCGAAGAGAGCCCCAGGACGGCCCCAAGAGCGCCCAAGAGCGCTCCAAGAGCGCCCCAAGAGCGCCCCAAGAGGCGATGTTTGGAGCTCCTGAGGGGGGGGGGCTAATTAGGGAACCCCCCATTCGTTGATCGATCTCCTCCAAGATGGCCCCAAGAGCGCCCCATGCAGCCCCCGAGAGCGCCCCAAGAGCGCCCCAGGAGGCGCCCAGGCGGCCCCAAGAGGCGCCCAAGAGGCCTCCAAGAGGCTCCCAAGAGACCCCCAAGAAGCCTCAAGAGGATCTCCGGAATGAATTTAAGACGCTTCTGGCTCTTCGGTTCGCCGTCCTCTTCAATTTCTCATCCCCTTCTTCCCCCTCCTCCTTCTCCTCCTTCTCCTTCCTCTGCTCCTCCTCCTCCTTCTCGTCCGCCTCGTCCTCTCTCTACTCCGCATCCTCCTCCTCATTTTCCTCCTCCTCCTCCTCCTCTTCCTCCCCCTCCCCCTCCGACGAGGATTCCTTCTCCATCCTCCCCCTCTTGGGGTACGTGACAGCTTCCCCCGCCCTTTGTTATTCTGCATGCTCCCCGACTTCTCTGATCACCTCAACTCCCCTGGGCATCGTTTCTGGATGGGCTGGCGGGGATGCGCGAAGCGTCAACAATTGCCAAGTGGGCGCTCAGCTCAGTGGAGAGACTTGGTGGCTGAAGCGGTCGAGGGGGGGGGGGGGGGGGGGGCCGCCGCCCCCCCCCCCTCCCCCTGGACTCAGTGATTTGATTAAGGAGCAGTGGGAACTCAGGACGGGTATTTGGATACCTACACCAGAGCCCTCGCTATTTCCCGATGCAATCGCAGAGCTGGGCAACTTGTCCAGCTCTGCGATTGCAGGCTGATCTGCTTGTCCGACAAGCAGATCAGCCTGCAAGGGCGCGACAGGCAGGGCATTTTCTGCAGACGTAAACGCGTTTATTGTCCCCGTGCTGGGGGTTGTCCCCTTGGCTGATGAGAAGGTCGGGGTGGCTCGAATTCGAGATTTGATTCGCTTGGTGGGGATCTGGTTGGGGTGTCGGCCCGGGGCCTCCGGCCCCGTGGTTGCCGCGCGCGCGCTCGCTTGGCCCGGCAGGGAGTCACCGTGCCTTTCTGCTGGCTTCGGCCGTCGCGGAGAAGGTGCAGCAGACCGCCGGCGGCGACGGCAGTGCCCCGAGCGCTGCCGCAGCAGGCGCCCACTTCCAGGCGGAGTCCGTCGCCGCGCTCTGGGCCGTCGCCCGCGGGGCGAGGGCCGGCGCCGCCGGGCAGCGCGGGGGCCGCTCGGTGTTATCCGACTCGGACGACAAGGGCTCCGCTCTGGTGAAGGTGCGCAAGGGGTTAACGCGCTACGGGCTCAACGGTTTGCCGGTTGAGCACCTGCCGCAGTCGGCTCCCCTTCAGCGGCTGCTCTGGCGGAGCCGCCGCAAGGCCAGCCACGGGCGGCCCCCGTGGGTCA